TTGAAGTGGTCACTCTTGAACATTCTGTAAGGTAAAGTAGACAGAACTAGACTGAATATGGGATGTGAAAAAACTTGAGAAGGTTTTTGGCTGGGTCAATGGAATGACATAGCTGTCATATAATTAAGATTGTTGTTTTCAGGTATTAAGTCAACCTTACTTGCTGAAAGTGAGGATGATTTGAAGCCCTTACTGCAAAAGATCAAAAATGACAGTCTTCAACACAGATTACATCTCAACATCAAGAAAACAAAAATTTTATACTTTATGCAACAATGAATGTGTGTGTGTGTGAGTGTGTATTTTTAAGCAAACTGGGAGGGATAGGGTGGAAAATGTGCAACAATGAATGAATGAAAAATAGAACTTTTCTGTAAACTTTTCTTAAAACCACAATAAATTTTATTTTTAAAAAATAAAAAAAAAAGTCAACTACAACTGGAACCCTATTAACAACAGATCTGAACGCTGCCCTATCCTGAACCAGCCTCATCATCTTTGATGATACTCAAGTCCACTGTTAGTCACTTTGTCAGTCTATCTTCTTCAGGGTCTTCATCTCATGCATGCTTGACCTTCCCTCTATCTTTCCAAGCATGATGTCTTTTTCTAAGGCCTTCTAACATCATGCCCAAAGTATGTGAAATGATGTTTCACCATGTTTGCCTCAAAGGAGCATTCTGGTTGTTGCGCCTCAAAGACACACTTGTTAGTTCTTTTGGCATTACACAGATATTCAGTAATCTTCTCCAACAATCCAACTCAAAGGTTTTCCTTGCCCTAGAGATGGCACTCAGAATTTGGACTTCTGGCCTCCTTCATCGTTCCAGAATAAAATTTGTTATAGTCATCTACTATGGTAGTCTGGGAGTAAGTATAGTGTGCCTGACCCAAGTCATGTTTTTTCAATCGCTTCCTATGCATCTGAAAGTTGGACAATGCTTATGGATAACAGAATTGATGCCTCTGAATTGCAGTGTTCAAGAAGAGTACTGACTATTCTCATGGCAAACCAAAAACCAACCAAAAACGAAGTTTGTCTTGGAGTGTAACCAGGAATGAAAGAATGTAAGAAGGGTAAAACCTTTTTTTCGTATTTATTATTTTTTTCCATTGTTGAACATTCTCCCCCTCCATCTGACTCACCCTGCAATGCACCCCTTGTTCCAGATTTTTGTCATACATACATATAATGCCTAATCATATATTCCCCTGGGACAGTAATTCCCCTCATCTGTTCTAATGCAGTGTTCATTATGCATTCATTCCTTTCCCAGTTTTCCCCCCACCTCATGTCTTCCTATTTTATAACAGTGGTGTTATGCAGTGTTTGTCCTTTGTGACTGATATTTCATTCAGCAAAATGTCCTCCAGGCTACCCCATGTTGTGTAATGTTTTACAAGTTTACTGTTTTTCAATGTGAAATAGTATTCATTGAGTGAATGTACTATAATTTTTCTATCCATTCATTTGTTGATGGACACTTGGGTTGTTTCCATCTCTCTGCTATTGTGAACAATGCAGCAATATACATGGGTGTACACATATCTGTGAGTCATACTCTGGTTTCTTCAGGGTATATTCCCAGTAGTGAAACTGCCAACTTTCTGAGAAAGCACCAGACCTCCTTCCATAGTGGCTACACCATTTTACATTCCTACCAGCAATGAGTAAGAGTTTCAACCTCTCCACAACTTTGTCAACAGTGGTTGTTCGCTTACCTGTTGAATTTTACTATTGCTACTGGGATAAAGAGGGTAAAATTTTATCTCACATAGTTTTGGCATTTTATTCAGGAGGGGTCAGTCCTTGGGAAATGGGACCATTTCTGGGAAATAGTGTTGGCAAAATAGAGGAAGACTCTCCATGAGATGGACTGACACAGTGACCAGTCACAATAGGCTCAAGCACATCACTGATGGTGAGGATGGCTCAGGAAAAGACAAGGTTCTGATGTGTTGTTCTCATAGGGTTATTACGAGTCAAAGCCAAGTACCAACAACTACTTATGGTATCTCTATTATAGTAGTATTAGATAACTAAGACACTAATGGAGGAGTAAATAACAAAGTTAAAATAAAATTTTCCAGTTTTTAGTATCTTAAAACTTGAGATGTTTATTAAACATTAATGTAATGCTGTCAAGAAACTGTTAAAACATTTTAATCTTTAAACATTTTAATTTTAATCTAGAATTGAAGAAGGAAATCATAGCTGGAGATAGAAATTTCTAAATTTCAGAGTCATGAGCATATATTAGCTATTCAAAGATGAGATAATGCAAAATATAGAGAGAAGAGGTACCACAATTAAATCATGGGGCATTCCAATCTTTCTTGGCTAAAAAAATAAGGAGAGCCTAAGGAGGAAACTGCAGATAAGACAGAAAGAGTACTCATGAAGTGTGAGAACAAAAAAAGGGGAAATCTTAGGAACCACAAAAGTTTTTCAGGAAGGAAAAAAGGATCAGTTGTTAACCCCTGATAACCTTGATAAGTGCAGTTTTAGTGAAGTGTCAAGAAAGACTTACCAGCATGGGTTAACAAAAAACAGGAAGACAAGAAGTGGAAGCGGTAAGAATAGGCAACTTTCAGAAGTTCTGGAGCAAAAAGAGGAGGGACGTGTGGACCCTGCTAGATGGGGAGGTGAATTTTTGGTGTTATTTTTAGGAAGTCTCTATAGATCAGCTGGTCAAATTGCCTCTTAAGAGATATACCAAAGGCTCAGATCTTGAGCTTTTTTAATTTTTATCTCTTCTTGAAAGACTCTTCTTGGTTATTTCACACACTCAAAATACCATTCATATGTTGGCAACTCACAAATCCTACATTTCCAGCCTACATCTCACAGAGTTTTAAATTCACATACAACTGAGCAGATTAGCCTCTCTGGATAATGAACAGTCAACTTGAGCATAACATCCAAAACTGATTCCTGATCTTCCCCCAAACATTTTTCCCTATTCTCCTAAAAGGCAACTCCAAGTTTCTAGTTCCTTGGGTCAAAAATCTTGACTTTACCTTTAACTCCTCTTTCTTCCTTATGATCAATTATCATAACTTTAAAATATACCACAGAATTAATTCAACCTTTCCTCATTGCAACTAATGGTGACACCCTAGCTATCATGATCTCTCACATAGATAGGTTTTTTATTTGTTTTCCCTCTTACTCATTTTCCTCATTTCATCCCAGCTACAAAGACCTTGCAGGATTTGTATATATCAGGAATATTTCCTCTTGTAGGCCTCTGCTCTTTTTAGTCCCTCTCTGAGGATATTCTTTATATTAATGACAAGATGGCTTCTTTATCTTCCTTTGGTTCTGTGCTCATTGAAATTATTACTCTCCTTTATAATCCTCCATAGCATTTACTACATTTGTCTTTTTCCTTCCACTAGAATATATTCTTTGTAGAGATAGAGATTATAGTTTATCTTTGTTCACTGTTAGATTCTCAGCATCTATACAGTGCCTCACAATGAAAAGAAACTTCCTAATTACTTACTGAATAATGTGCTGATAAGAACATACCAACAGTAGAAATCTGGAAGTTATTCTACACATCTTCTTCTCTCTAGTTCAATTACTCACCAAAATCATCCCAATTTTACCTCTTAAGTGCTATTAATTGGTTTTCTCCTTTTTACCTTCTCCATGCTATCTTTTACTAGGACTACAGGAGTGGTATCTACTTCCTAAAAAACATGCCTCCTGAAACTCTATGAACTTTGATAAATAGTTGATCGATAGTTGTAGAGTGGCTTCAGGCCTTTTGTTCATAGGGTCGCTATGAGTCATGCTTGACTTGAAAGCAATCAACAACAACTACAACAACAATAACTACAGAAACCTTCCTAAGAATTCTCCCAGAAGCTTATGTATTAGCTAAACACACTTCCACAGCATATCTAAACTGACTCAGAATAGGACTAAGCAAGTTATCTCCCTTATACTTGGCTTTAAAAAAAAAATTAATCTCTTAAATGTCTAGCAATTTAAACAACTACAGTCAAGGTTATCAAACTTTTTTTTATAAAAGGCCAAACAATAAATATTTTAGGCTCTCCAGGACTCAAGGGCTTTGTTCCAAATACTCAACTCTTAATACTACAGTATAAATTTAGCAATACATACCCCAGAGGACATGGGTGTATGCTAATGAAACTTAATTTACAAAAGCAGAAGGTAGGATAGATTATGTCTCTTTGACCTAAGGTAGTTAAATCCCTTACCTTAGCACTGATTATAAATGGTAATTCATTTAAAAAAAAAGGGGGAAAAAGGTAATTCATGTCTGGTGTCTTTAAGTCATCTCCCAATCTTCACTTTACATTTTATTATAGAACTAATCATATATCCATATATACTTTATATACCTTATCTGTGCTTTGTTCTTATGCCAACTTTCCTTTTCTGGTTAGCTTATATTGTTTTTTATTGTTAAGAAACATTAGTTCGTTCCACCATTAGTTTTCACATTTTCCGTGAGCGATGACTGAATCACATAATCTCTAGCACCTAGCAGATAGTAAGCATCTGAGAAATGCTTTTTAAAATTTAACTAAAATTTCTTAATAGTAAAACTGAAGTGAGAGTAAACATGCTGACTCAAATATTGCTGAGAATTTTTGTTACTAAATTGGGTAAAAATTAAAGTCATATCAACATCAAGAATATAGTTTTTAAAAAAACCAAACAAAACCCAAACCCACTGCTGATGTGCGGATTTTGACTCACAGCAACACTCCATTGGGATTCAGAGGCTATAAATCTTTACATGAGAACACCGTCCTTCTCTCCCTTGGAGCAGCTGAGGGCTTCAAACTGTCAACCTTCTAGTAAGCAACCTGACTCAGCACACACTAGGCCCACCAGGGCATCTTTACAGTTAAAATAGTTCTTCTAAAGTACTTATTCCAAAGTCAACACTAACATTAAGAGTAAATGGAGACTACAATCTTTAAGTTATTATGTTAAAATTTGAATCAATACTTACTTCAACTTGAAAAGCCAGTTCCACTTGGTTGTGATAAGAATCTAAGAGTTCTTCAACAGGGTGTCTGAAATACAGAATACTGAGGGATACTATATACAAAAATTATTGTTTTAATCTTCAAAATAAATGTATTCATGTCCAAAACCAAAGTCTGGAAACCTACAATTATGCTTTATATGATATACCTTGTCATGACTTCCTTATAAGGTTTTTCTATTTGATGCAGGTGTTTGTTTAAATCCACAGGTGTTTCATCATCTTCTGCCTAAACATACAGATATAATCAAAGTCAAATTAACCCTAATTCTATTGTCAAATTAAATATGGCATAAACCCAAACGCACTAATGAGTCTACTGTGATCCGATCGTATAAAGGGGCTGCCTATCTGCCCCCCAAAAAGGGGCTGGTGGATCCAAACCACCTATTTTTCACTTAATCAGTTAAAACTCTTTAACCCCTGTGCCACCAGGGTTCCTTAATATAGTACATGATAAACAAAATCTCAAAATTAAAATGAATTTTAGGAACTGAACATAAAATACAGATTCTGGGGAAAAGTAAGTCAATATTCTAGGAACAATTTGTTTCGAAATGTAAAAACGTAAAAGCTTTTAAGTATCACTTCTGATATATAAATAGGTTCTAAAGCAAAAGCCATAATAGTTCTATACAGATAGCAGAAAGCTAAAAATACTTTCAAAGATGGGTGACAGCTAAATAAAGGTCAGCTGGGGCCAGACAGAAGAGCTCATCTGAATCTTTGTTACTTTTTCTAATGATAATCAAATGGATCCACTTTCAGCCCCCACCTCAAAAACAAAGCAGCAATCGTCTCTTCTGCTCTAAACCATGACTGCTCAGGTAACATCTTTTTTTTTTTTTCCAGGTAACATCTTTAAGCACTCAAGATCATCATTCAAGTAACTGAAGCTTCAGAAGTTACCAACTATTGCTAAAATGTACTAAATTTTGTAAAATAATTTCCATTCAATGGAAAGAAATTCTCTATGACAAGAAAGCAAAACCCAAGAAAAGAAAATGGAAAGAAAGTAATAATATTCCATCCAAAACTCTACTAAATGAAGGATAATTTTCTTTAGAGTGTTAAGAAGTTATAAATTTACCAAAAGTTTATACAATTATTTACTTTCCTGTGTTGTATTTTGATTAAAATAACAAAGAACTGTATTTTTTAAATAGTGGATTAGTCTTTTTATTTATGAAAAATTTCTGTTGGTGCAAAAGTCAATATGGGTATCTTTTTCCTCAATGCATATTTAGGATTCTAAATCTTTTCTTCTTCCTCATTTCTCCTTAAGTGACTCTGATATTTTCACTCTTGTATAAAACTAACTTTTAATCTCTCCATTCAATTTTCAAAGATGCTGCTAGCCTAATTATTATGCTGCCTAAACAGCCGTGACTGAAAATCTCCCCCTCATCTACTAAGATACCAGTTCAGGCTAGAGCTCAACAACCCATCAACCTGGAAAGCTTGGAGAGGGTATAAATTGCAAATTAGATTACTGACTGGAAAAAAGTCAAAGAACCAAATACACAGGTTCAACCAAACTGGATTCAATTATAAATACACACTTACTGTTCGTGCCAGATTTTGGCACATTGCACTGAAAGTCAAGAGTTGTAGTTTAATTTCTGTGTCCCATTTTCGACAGTTTTGAATATATTCATGACTTCCGAGGCAATAGTTACTGTTAAAAGATAATTATTATTCACTAGTATTATTCCACTTAAACTATAAATCATACAACTGAAAGTCAACTAAAAAGAGGAATAATTCTATAATCCAAAACAAAAAAGAAAAATATAGACAAAGGATATAGAAAAATAGGAGCAATACATTTTTAGAAGTGTAGAAAATTAGATTCCACAGCAAACTGGACTATACGCTAGATATAACATATTATCTGCTTCAGAAAAGAGGCATATAATATGCAAGCAACTTAGTTAATCACAGTTGAATCCAAAGTAATAATGCTATAAAAGGAGAATGGACTTTATAATGATGTAATCATTTACTTGTTATTTTAATATAGGAAAAATAATCCATTAAGTTCACTTATAGCCATCAATTATCTATCAAGACTATATGCTTCTTGTAATTTTCTTTTTGTGTCTGTGTACTGTTGAGCCGTATCTGAATGGCATAGGAAGAGATTGCTCCTCCTTCTCCAGCACAGCATCTGATGGATTTGAACTGTACACTTTGAGATTGTAGCACAGTCTCTTGCCACTAGGCCACCAGAGCTCCCTAAGACGATATGCTTCTTAAAAGCAGTATTGTATGTCTTATTTCTGAAATCCCTACACCATTTAGCAGTGTCTTGGACAAATATACCTATGATTTTAAACCAATTAATTACTTCAACAGGACTCAATAGTTTTGGATTAATTTAAGACATTTCTACTTTAAGCTATGAACATTAAGTTTCCAAAGACAGTATTCAGTAGTTAAATAAAGGAACTTACTTCTGCAGTACTTCCTCTTGACCACAAACTTTCAGAACATAGCTGCCAACATCTATTTGATTCAAGTCATCATGCACCCAGCAAAGGGCTTGCATTATAATGATTTCTACAGTAGAACTCACTGTAAAAGAGTTGATTACCATTTTAATTCTAGTATTTATTCAGACTGTACTACTTACACACTAGATGTGCAAAAGAGAAATATATGATTCATAAATGCAAGTGAATATGGAATTTAAAACTTCTTGGTGTAATGTGCAAAGAGCTGTGCTGAAACCCAGAGGGCATGCCTTTGGTGGTTCAAATACACCATCAGATCCTTAGAAAAAAGAGGGGCAATCTCCTCCTAATTTACAGCCTCCAAAAACCCAGTGGAGGGTCAGTTATGAGTTGGTTCCCACTTGATGGAAATTAGTCTTTTGAGTTTTGAGAGACACTACACTGAAAAAAAGTGAAGAGACATGTAAAGCTAATGAAATTTAACACTACATTTATCCCGGAAACTGTCATTTCAGCTATCACTGTAATTTCAATAAATATCACTCTCTCATTGCTGTCAAACTGGAATTGGCTCATAGCTGATCCTTTCTTTTGTTTGTTTGCTTTTGAGTCTCGGAGCTCCTCAGAGCAGCTGATGGATTCAAATTGCCAGCAAGATGGGGTCAGCGCAACTCCCTACAGACTACACACCAGAGTTGCCTATACTCAATAAAAAACAATGAAGCATTTTACATTCTTTTAAAACTAAAAAGTGTGTCTTTGACACAGCATATCTGGACAGCACAGTCTAAGCAAGAAAAAGTCATCTTCCTAATGTAGACTTCTCCAAAGAGACAATGGTTGTGTCTAGTAAACACTGATGTAAAGCATGTCCAAAGGAGAAACAGTAATTCTTCTAAGTGTTTGACATTTACCTGGTAAAATCTACAAACAAGAATATAAACATTTCAAGTAAGTAGCATTGTTTTATTAGTATTTTGGCCAATAGCTGGAGAGGCAAATTCCTTCCCATGCAGGTTTATAGCTTCAGAAAAACCAACCTGGAGGCTCAGGTATGAGTTGGTTCCAAATAGATGATAATGAGTTTTTTGAAGATTCAACTCAAAAACTCTTTACAATGGAGTTGGAATCATCTTACAGCTGACCTTGCAGCAGGTTTTCAGAAGCTATAAATCTAATAGGAGTAGACAGACTATCTTTCTCTACAGAAACCCTGGTGTATCTGAACCGTCAGAAGAGGCACCACCTCTAAGTCTGCTGCACAACTCCCTAAGGAATAGGCCACCAGAACTTTTTTGAAGGTTATAACAGATTAAAAAAAGAAAACTGTTTAATCTCTTTTTTAGTACTAGGATGCTTAATCCTTAAAGGATACTCAATGCATTTAAATGTCATTAGAATTAATAGCTTGGCAGGAAAGGCATAAAACCATGATATATCTAATATAATGGCTGTATATCTAAATAGTCTTATGAATGGTGAGATTTATCACTTGAACACACAAAGTATTCCCATTATAAGATGGTTCAATTTCTTAGAAGAGCTGTGCACTATAACCATGCACAGTTATCAACAACAGGCATCTAAAGCACCTTTTTTTTTAGGTTAGTCAGATACTGATGAAATGAAATAAAATAAAATTTGATACTAATTATCTAACATTTGTTATCAAATGTTGTTTGCACAACCAAGGTGCATGTGAACTTCTATCAGATTAGTTTAATACTTACTGTGTACCTGAGATTTAAAGGTCTTGCCCTAGTTAAAACGTAATATATTCTTTAAAAGAATAATTCTTCATTTAGAAACTTAAAGAGGGATCAGTTTAGTCGGGTAAAATCTTTATTCAAAATTTTGTTTTTTTAAAAAAGAGCCTTAAAAATATGGTTAGAAATATCCAGCTATTAGAAAGATTCATAACTTGTAAAAAAATAATTATAACTTCTAAGCCAAAGCACTGTAGAAACAACAGGATTCTCCTCTGGTGGCCTAGTAGCAAGAAGCTACACTGCTACCCTTAAGGCACACAGTTCAAGGCTACCAGCTGTTCTACGGGAGGATGGGCAATCTCCTCCAGGACAACTTACTGACTCTGAAAACCCCAGAGGGTCAGCTAAGGTCACATCCAACTCTATAGTACACAACAACAACATACTGTTGGAGTTCCAAAAATAATACACGTGAAAAAATGTATTACACTCTGAAAGAAAAGTAGTATTAAAGAACAATTAAAGCTTTCCCTAAGTCTTTGGGAATATATCCCTAGAAAGGATATTCATACCAAGTTTAGAAAGAAAACTCAATAAAAGGAAAACTATCTTCTTTTTAGAGACTTCAGTATCATTGACAACTCTTTACAAACCAATGTTCTTCTGTCCATAAAATGGGGGGGGGGAAGCTTTTTTTGTTTGTTTGTTTAATGCTTTTGGTAATGGCTAACAGTCCAATATTATTAACAAAAGCTATCTAATAGTTTTCTGGAAATGTAGCTAATTTTACAAGAAACCTGTTTCCCCACTTGTCCTAACCAGAAAACTAGTCACTGACTCCTGAATGAGGATTTTTCTTAAAAAGGATCCTTAGCAATTCGAATCCACCAAATGCTCTGTTGGAGGTGCAAACTTCTCCTGTACCAGTCAGAGCCAATTTGATGGCATACACACAAAAAATAATAAAAATTAAAAAAAGAAAAAGATCCTTAATGATAACATAAAATCAGTTTTATGAAAGATGATAAACATATTCTCCTTAATGAAAGAAAAACAAAATGCTTTAAGGAATGACAAACATACCATCGCATGTAAAAGTAACTGGTAGCTGGAATCCTTCAATTTCAATAGAGACCTTCACACTTGCATTTTCTCCACAAATGTTCCTTTGTGCTGTGACTGGACTTAACAAATAGCCTGGATTTGTACAGTGACTGGTATATGGAAAGTTGGTCCTCAATCTGTTCACAAAAAAGATGAAATTAAATTCTTTTTAAAAGCTGCATTTAGGAGCTTTGAACATGGCCCTGAAAGCTTACAGTCATTCAGTTCTATGTTTTATAACTACTCTGCCAAAACTCCAAATATTTAAAATGCCTTTTAAATAAATCAATGAAAAAGGAAGAGAGAACACCTGAGCATCTGGTGACACTATCAACAGTACCCAACTACAAATGGATCATACATTAAAATAATTTCTGTTTCCAATTTTTTCTGCAACGTAATACATATATTGGCACAAAATGGTGCACTTTACAGGAATTATTGATGATATACAATGTAGCCCATACATTATAATTTGCCAGAGAGATACAATGTTGTTATGCTTTGTTTTTAAGAATCTATTTTTCGTGACCAGCACTCAACCTGTCCAGTGTATCTCCCCATCTTCCTCCTCTCCGCATCCCCCTTCTCTCCCCTGTGCCTGTGGTGAGCCTACACTAACAGCGGCTCCATGCAGCCATACCCGCCAGCATTGCCACGCTGCCCACGGATTGAATCTAGGTCTGCAGAAGCCACACAGATTCCTCTCTGCCTGTGTTTTTTAAAATATGTCCAGACATACAGCTGATTCTGGTGCACATTATTTGTCAAAGGGAGGGGGGGAAAACCAACACAAGTTTTCCTCGTTTGAAATTCAACAGGACAGTCTGGGACGCTTTTACAGACTCAAGATGTACACGGCAGGTGCCCTGACGCCAGAAGGATAGTACTTACTGTTTGAGAAAAATAAAAGCAAAAAGGTCGCCTGGGGAAAAAAAAGAATCTATTTTTCTTAAATATATGTATTTTTTTTTATCCTCATGACAAACATTGTTTTGGGGTTGTTAACAAAGGAAACAAAAGACAATGAGACTGAGTTAATTCAGTATTATGCCATAATACTTTCCAGTCTCTCCCAAATTACATGGTATTTTTTTGAATTGTTACTCGTTAAGTGCTGCATGATATTCCATTGTGTGAATGTACCAAAATTTCTTAATCCATTCAGTTGTATGGGAATCCAAAAGGAGAAAGGGTGGGAGTGGAAGGGTGAGGAGGGTGAGGAGGGATAGGGGCAAAACAACAGGGGTGCACTGTTTGGTGGCTGGAGGTGAGCGGGAAGGAAATGGGAAGGATCCCAGTGAAAAGACAGGGTAATCAAGGGAAAGGTCCAATGGTGATAGATTTTATAAAACATAATGCATAGAATGACTGTATAAAACACAATTTGAATGAAGAAAAGCATGAAACACAATATACACAAACTTTGTAAGCAAACTAATATAAAATATAAAAAGAAAAATTGTGGTGCTAGTAAAGAATATATTAAATACGCCATGGACTGTCAAAAGAACAAATGAGCCCTGAAGGAAGTGCAACCCAGGTGCTTCTTGGAAGCCAGAATGGTGAAACTTTGTCTCATCTACTTTGGACATATGTTGTGAAGAATCATGAGTCCTTGGAAAATATAACATGCTGCATAGTAAGTCAGTAAAAAGAAGAAGACATTCAACAAGATGGACTGAACACAGTGACTGCAACAATAAGCTTGTCATGGTAGAGATTGTAAGTATGGCCTAGAAAAGGGCAATTTGTAGTCAGCAGCACCGAACAATTTCCTAAGCTAAATATTTTTTTTTGTATGTGGTGAGAATCAAATCCACTGTTGTCTGATTAGTTCCAATCCATGGTGACCCTCCAAAGAGGGAGTCTCAAAATCTTTATAGAAGAAGATCGATGCCCCATTGTTTGGCTGTTGTTAGGCATCATCAAGTATGACTCATAGTGACCCATGAAGAACTATCCTGAACTCTGCCCTATCCTGTGCCATCCTCATCATCTCTGACACACTAGGGTCCACCGCTAAAGTCACCATGTCAAGCCATCTTCTATAGGGGGTCTTCTCTTTCACTGACCCTCCATCTTTCTAAGCATGACAGCCCTTTCCAAAGATTAATCTTGCCTAGCTATATGTCCAAAGAATGAAAAGCAAAGCTTTATCTTCTGTCCTTCTAAGGAGGACTCTGTCTGAATTTTTTTCAAGACATATTGGTTTGTTCTTTTGGTAGTTCATGTGATATTCAGCATTCTTCTCCAACACAACTCAAAGGTATCAATTCTTCTGTCATCTTTCCTCATTGTCAAGCTTTCTGATACATAATACGTAGCTGACTGAGAAAACCATGACCTGAATTAGGTAAACCTTATTCTTCAAATAGTTATCATTGCTCATCAGTAGTCTGAAGAGGTCCCTGAAAGGAGACTTGTCCAATGCAGTGTGTCTCCTGATTTAACTGCTAATACCAAGGGTGTTGTTGACTGTTGATTTGAACAAGATGAGTTATGGTGGCTGAGTGGTAAAGAAACACAGACACACTGCCAATGCAAAGGTACATGGTTCAAATCCACCAGATGTTCCAGGGGAGAAAGATGCGTAATCAACTCCTGTGCAATTTACTCTCTCTGAAAACCCACTGGAGGGTCAGCTATGGGTAGCTTCCAACGTGAACATACAAATCTTTTGGTTAGCCACCAGGGCTCCTCTGGTGAAAGAAACATATAAAAACAGCTAAATTTAATTTTGTTTTCCTTCTAAATAATCAGTTGCCTAATGGAAAAGATGCAAGTGCAATGTAGTTTATGTTAATATGCCAAATAGCTCCAAGAAAACAATAAAAACATTTAGAATCTTGGAATTATTACCACAATGATAGTTTTAAACAAATAATCAATAATAAAAAATATTCAAGTTAAAACAATATTCAATAATAAAATTTTTAAATCTTGTCATTAATTTATAAAGAAAAACGCCTTACTCTGTAACTGACTGACAAAAAGCTGCCACTTCCTCATTTTGTACTTCAATTTCTTGCAGAAAAGAACTTCCAGTCAGTAAACTACTGGTCCCCTTTGGGTCCTTCTGTAAAAAACAAATAAAAATGTTTTTATTGAAAAAGTTTAAAATCCTCAAAATGCTAAGTAGTAGTATAGAACAAATGTATGACAATAGGCATAAAGGTGTGAAAATGATAACAACCACTGCAGTAATCCATTTAAAATTGCTCATTTCTATTCTGGAAAAGTAAAGCCAACTAAGTCCTATTTTAAATTCTTTGGTTTTACTTGCTCAAAAGCAGAAACCAGCTGTAGTCTATACTGATCAGTACAAATGGGGTATCAAAATCCCAAAATCTTGCTGAAATATTCCAGAAAGCTAACAGCAGAATGAACTTAAGCAACAACAGCAGAGTGAATTTAAAATGAGCATCTCTCTGTTTTAAGAAAATTAAGACATCAAGCTTATTTAGGATTTCTTTTACTATATAACGGGCATTTACTATGTCCATAAACTTATGCAAATATCTTGACAATTATTAAAAAATTAAATTTCTTTCTGGTTGGTCAAAATGTGTTTGCAAATTTTTTAAGAACATAAATTCATCATAAGCACAGAAATTATTTCATTTAAAAGTGTTCAGATTACTTATCTAAAACCTATCTGATTTTCCTTTGAAATGGGAACATTTTCAAATCAAAGTTAAATGAATAATAACAGTGCATAAATGTAAAGAGCTGTAATGGATTTCAATGACCACTGCACAAGAGATTTGCAACAGAAAATGAATCTGAAAATTTAGGGCAATAATTCCTTTATAAGTTTCCTTTTTTAAAATTTGGAAGTCATTTCTGCTAGACTGTTGATATATATTCCAGAGTATGCCACTGAGGAGAGAAGAACACATTCGCAAGTTCTGCAAAATCATAATTAAAAACAACAGATTTAATGAGAAAAGTTATTGCTGTCAAATGTCAAGCTGGCTCCAACTGATAGCAGCCATATATAGAGCAGAATAACATACTACCCAGCCCTGCACCATCTTCACAACTTTTGCTACCCTTAAGCCCACTCTTGTAAGCAATCTGTCAATCCACCTCATTGAGGGGCTTTCCTTTTTTTGCTGACGACCTCCTTTACCAAGTACGGTGCTACTTTTCTAGAGGATGGTCCTTTCTCAAACATATCTAAAGTACATGAAAGGATGTCTAGCCATTCTCCCTACTGAGAAGCATTCTGGTCATACTTCTTGCAAAACAGATACAAGGTTTCAGATCTAATGTGCACACGGTACACAGGTGACTTGACACACCACCACCATCCTCACATGACTGTTCACATTACAAGCATGTCCACTGTTTGGCTGAGAGCTAAGTCTCAGGGCTGAGCTGAGTCTAGTTCAAGATTCAAAGCTTATAGTAGTATTTTTAGATTTTTTTTTAAGTTAAAAAAATTGTAGTTCTGGTACAAAAAAGTTCTTCCTTTTTATTAAGTTACAACTTTTACTTGACAGTAACAGAAAGAGCTAGTTAATTTTCTACTAATTTACCAAGTTAATAATAGAAACTAAAAAGTTAGTATTAAATGCCTATTTGAGACCAGCATAAAAAGCTATATTATCAATTATTTTTGGAGCTCTGGTGGCCTAGAGGTCAGAAGTAGGCCTGCCAACCAAAAAAGGAACACAGTTTGAATCCACCAGTTGCTCCACAGGAGGAAAATGGGAACTCTCTTCCCATGCAACTTACAGCCTCTGAAAACCCACTGGAGAGTCAGCCATGAGTTTGTTCTGAGTATGTAAGAACCATCACCAACTATTTATCTCATTACTAACATTGTCATGATTTGTTTAGTTTGTATACCCTATTTCTGGAACCGAAAAGATATTTTAAAGTTTCACACCAGTCACATCCTCCCTCAAATAGTATGCAAACAACTGAAGCATCAAATAAGCTGTTCTTCATTGATCTCTGCGTGATATTTTCTTAATGGCACTAAAGGCTTCTATCAGATATCCTTATTAATCACACATTTAATTTGGTTCCCCCTCCTTTTACCCCAAATTCTTTAGGAGGCTTCTCCCACGCTCCTTCCAGGTGCTGTCAAGACAGTTCTGACTCATGGCAACCCCATGTGTGTCAGAGCAGAATTGTGCTCTACAGACTTTCAGTAAAACTCTGAGGTTTCTTAAGCTGTTAATCTTTTTCAGGAGGAAACGGTCCATCTTTCCCCCTCAGAGCTGCTGGTGGATTCAAAACACGGACCATTTTTCAATTAGTAGGCCAGCATGTAACATAGGGCTCCTTATCTTTAAGGGTTTGACATGTAAATGACTCATATTTGCAATCCCCACATTGCAGATCATAAACATCTTTTTAATGAATGAGTGAATTATAAGATAATGGATAAGAAAAAACTGTTAGAGCCATTATCCAACACATGGAAAATGATAAGTGTCAGGATTGAATTGCATCCTCCCAAAATACATGTATATAATGATATAATGTGGAAGTTTTGTTAATATTCCCTACTAATAAACCACATACGTGTAAAAGGATTAAGGGTGGGCTACAATATTCCTTAATCTTAGTGCAGGCACTTCTGTGCAATTTAGTCTCAAAAACCTGCTGTACGCTATTAGGAGCTGATTCCAACTTGATGGCAATGAGTGGAGATATAAAAGGGGAGTAAAGTGAGTAGACACTAGTGAGGTGGGGAATGGTATTCACATCTATCAAAGAATTGCAAGGAGTGGAATCTATCTTGAGGGAGCTCCTTTGCACTGGGAAAGACCAGGGTACATGGAGATTGCCAAGGAATGCCTGGCCTACAGATGCGGATGGAAACAACGACTTGCCTTAATAACAGAGCTCACACATACATGCACCTTCCTTTAGAACAGGCTCCCTAAATTTTGAGTTCCAGCCTCCTAAATTGATTCTTGTTATGTATCATCAAGTTGGAATGAAATAATAGTTGAACATAGTGGGTTTTTTGAGGCAGTACTGCCTGTCTTTGAACTGGTAGTACAATCCCTTATCACTAGCCCTCCAGAGCTCCCTCCTACACTTACGTGTTTGCTAAAGCCATCAACCTATGTTATGCTGAGCAGCACAAGAAAACTAAGACATTAGGCTCTATAATTTGTCTAAGACATACAGATTGTTGTTGTTGTTGTTATGTGCCGATGAGTCATTTGCGACTCATAGCGACCCTGTGTACAACAGCCCTAAACCGTGCTCTATCCTGTGCCAATCTCATTGCCTCTGACACACCCATCCCGATTGCCCCAGTCACTGAATCAATCCACCTCATAGAGGGTCTTCCCCTCCTGCGCTGTCCCTCCACTCTACCCAGCATGATGTCCCTCTCCAAAGACCTGTCTCTCCTTACAACATGTCCAAAGTATGTCAGACGAAGCCCCAGAATCCTTGCCTCCAAGGAGCAGCCTGGTTTAACCCTCTCTAGGATGAATCTATTTGTTTTCTTGGCAGTCCATGGTACATTCAGTACTCTTCTCCAGCACCACAGCTCAAAGGCGTCAATTCTCCTTCTATCCTCCCTAGTCATTGTCCAACTCTCTGATGCATAACAAGTGATTGCAAAAACCATGGCCTGTATCAGGCGCACCTTAGTCTCCAGAGAGACACCGTTGCTCTTGAGTACTTTAGAGAGGTCCCTAACCGCAGACTTACAGATTAGACAAGTATAAAGGAAGGATACAGCCCTGACACATGCCTTTGATTTTAAACCAAGAAGTGTTCCCTTGTTCTGTCACAACACTCTTGGCCTAGGTATAGGTTTTACATGAGTACATGCCCAAAATATGTGAGATGATATTTCATTATCTTTGCTTCTAAGGAGCACAAGAAACGGTATGAATTATTACAGACGCCCAAATGTAAATTTTTGGGTATGTCTATACTTAAAGGCTAGTCGAAGAAAAAGGAACAAAAGATCATAGGAGTAAAACTAATACATACAATTATCTATAACAAAAGAACAGTTTGAACGAATGAATGGCAATCCAAAGTCTGTAAATTTTCATTAAAATCAATAATAATAAAATTTTTTTTAAAAAAACCCAAGACTCCCCCCACCGACCAAACTGTGCAGCTCTGCAACTGCATCCTGGCCCATCCTCACCCTTCTGCCCCCAACCCTCACCTCCTTGTGCCCCCAATATGTTTTTCCCAATAAAAAAAAATATTAAAAAAAACAACAACAACAAAAAACCCAAGACAAAACAAAAGAACAGTTTGAATTTGGCAATCAGTATTACTGTTACTAGAAATGTGATTCTCCAACATAGCAGGAAAAGAGAAGATGTGTAAAAGATTGGGGAGGAACTTGGAATAAATTATGTTATAATTGGTAACTGTAGATAACACTCTGAGTAGAAACTGGAATAAGAAAAAGCTTAAAGAGTTTTAAGTTGTAAGAAAGAAGTGGACTATGTCTGAAACCTAAGTATGAAGAAAAAGCATGAAAAGCATGAACTTGGCTTCAGTAAAAAAGGAAGGAAGGTCTTCTTCCAGAAAAGATCAATTTTTGGGGAAAGCATAAAGAAAGTAGTGATGCTTTGAAATAATGGGCAAAAAATTATCAACACTTATTCTGTAAAATAGGAAAAATTCAAATCCAAGGTCATGCTATGCTCCATGGAAATTAGAGGGAACACAATATTTTAGGTATAAATCCATCACTTACTAAGATGTTATTTGCTTTCTTTTTTGTACAATTTTTTAATCTTACGAAGAGATTCACAGAAGCTATTAAATTAATGGATTACATATAGACAATAACAATAAAGTTAACTTTTCCTTTTCTTTGATGTTAACCATAGATATTTTATCAACACAATCATAATGGTATAATGGTAATGCAATTAAACTTTTAGAAAGGACTTTACATAACTATAAAACTCATTAATTACTAAAATCTTTGAAATCTATTCAAAGTAAATTTATAGCTATTATAGAAAGGTAATTTTTAATATTATGTCTTCTTTTCTCAGGTTTTTTTAAAAAAAATACTGAAGCATCTGGATTACTATTAACAAAACTTAAAACACTAGAAAAAAA